GTGATTTTGGGGGCTTTATACGTTAAGGCTCAAATGGATCTGATTCACTTATAACTGACTTTTGACCAATAGGTTTAGTTATTGTGAAATGGATTGAAGTTTTTAGGCAATCAACTAATTTGGTCATTCCAATGTAAGAGTGGGAATAACGCATGCATATCGCTAATACATACTCAACGTTCTTAAGCAGATGTATTTGAGTGACATAAATCAACTTATCAGGAAAGATCTCGTGCAAACAGTCCTGAGGAAACAATCGTTGATTTTCCACAATATGGCTAAGATGAGAAGATATTTAGATTCAATAAGTAATAAAACGCGCGAGAAACACAAACACTGTTGCCGGTAACGGGAAAAATATTTTTTTGACGGTATTCCATGAGAGAAACAGGGATACAAACGTCTTCCCCTATCACAGGCCAAGCTTTCGTTTAGTGATCCTTGATGCAAAAACACTAGTAGACCTATAAATTGGAACACTATCAGTGCTTAAAGTATTTCCGCAATAGAAACCGTCATTTCCTCTTTTCGTTTGATTACAGACGGCGAACTCCCAAGGGCGAGTATGCTTTGTGGACTGGGACGTTCGAAAGCCTGTGTGGATACAACGATCCCCGTATTCAGTCACGCAAAAAATGAAGGGTGAAAATGGATCATTTTTTCCAAACAAAGGCTTCCCTCGTGCGTGGAGGTGATTTGTATCGGTACCAGTTAAATCGATAGTGAATATGAACTTCGAAAGGACCGATGGGTTTCACTGTTACTGCGTTCAGCATTTCTGATATATGCCATATGTTAACGATGTGGCCGGACTGAACTGACAAGAGCATTGACTTGCCCAATCTACAACGTCATGGACGACATGTGAGTAGAAAATACGGCAAAATACAGTGAGTGACCTATCTCATGAAATGTTGGCTGAAAATCTGAAATGCGTTTTCGACTAGAAAGGATTATGTAGGCGCGGTTGTAATACTGATTATCTTCCAGCATAATCCTATAATATTTAAGACTCGGCAGGATGTCAGCTTTTGAATGCACTGCTTTTCAATCTCATGTAGAAACCGCAGTCCGTGAAAAAATTACTGCTTAAGCTGCATGCATTTTTCCCATTGATTTTCGATTATCTTGCAAATTCAAATATGTCTTAAAGAAACGATAAGCAAAAATATGCCTTCTTTCAGTCGTTTAATAGAGAACTGCGTAATCTTTGCATTTTATACTTGAAAAAGGAGTATAACTGGGTTTTTAAAAAAGTTTTCTAATTCCCGAAAAATTTGGAGTCTGATCAGTCGTTGCACTAGCGCTTAGTGATTTCAGTCTACAAGGTGCATGCGTTCCGCAAAAAGAAAATCTCATATTCTTCTATGCCATCAGAAAGATATCATATAGAGTTCATAGAATTTTGCAATAGAGGCGGACTATGCTGTACATTAAATGAGGAGCTGTGGTAAACGGACAGGTACTATGCTACGCGAATGGACATTTCACGGCCTTAAAAATCTCATAATGAGAAACTTTTTAAACCCTAATAACACTCCTCTTTCGAATATAAAATATAATAACGACGTGATTCTCTATCAAGCGACTGAAAGAAAGCCTATTTCTCTTCGTGGTCTTTATAAAATAAACTTTAATTTGCAAGGCCATCGAAAATCAATGGGAAATCTGCATGATGCATAAGTGGTCCTTTTTTACAGAGTATGGTTTTTGCATGCAGCTGGAAAGAAGTTCGTTCAGAAGCCGGCACCCTACGGTAACTGAAATATTATAGAAATATTATAGAAGTATGTTGTAGACTAACTACTTTTACAAACCTACTTGATTGATCCTCTCGAAACGAAAACAAATTCCGGAATTTCGGCTGACATTTCATGAGTTAGCCCATTTACGGTACATCGCTGAAGTTCTGCCAAAGATGACTATCAACACTCCGATGTAAAATTCGAAAGGCACTTTCGCGAGCATACGTCTGCTTTCGATAAATTCCTTTCAGCCTGTACATTTATATGGCTACTGAAGTAATGACTTAGAAGATACAAGGTCCTATTTCAAGGGGATGCACCAAGTGAACTTCTAAGAATACGCCTAACTCAAGCTATATTACAGACCTTTTCAGCAACTGACACCCCTGTACTCTTTTCCACCAGTACCATCCTATACGGAGAGGGCAAGGACAAAATACCAGCTCAGACCACCTCTGTGTGTATTTACTCCTTCACCTGCTCCTGTGGGGCAGAATATATTGGTCGCAAGAGCCGGCGTTTGTCCAAAAGAATGAAAGAACATCTCCCAGCATGGTTAGGAAAGGGACAAATAAAGAATATTAACAGCTCGATCCTCGTCCACATGGTAGACACAGACCACCGTGTAGGCGCCAAAGTGTCCTTCAGAGTAATTTACAGGGTCCCATCAAGCTATCCACAACTGTTTGGACAGCGCTCTTTGGCTACAGCAGAGGCGGCTGCAATCAGGCTACGCGGACCGGTCCTATGCGCACAGAAGAACTTCATACAAGTCCCACAGTTGCCATGGCTCACAGCCACCAAGCCAACCACCTGCATATAATCAACTTCGCCGGGACCCAACTTCACCCTGGCACTGACTGGAATTGTTGTGTTTCACTCTCCCCCTCCCCTCCCCTCCCCAAACCCGAGCTACAGTTTAATTACCTACTTGCCCATATCTTTCAATTCATTACTTCAATAGCCATATAAATGTACAGGCCTGAAGAGAAGTTATCGAAGGCAGACTTATGCTCGCCAAATTGCCTTTTGGATTTTACAATGGGAATTTTTGCAACTCCGATGTAAGGCAGGTGGGGGTGGGGAAGGGGCTGAAGTGCCTTTGCCGTCCTCTGATGACAGTATCATCGAGAGTACGATTAACAAATCCTGTCACCGTCTTAAAATGCCCTCGGAATGTGATATCGACAGCGGTTGCAGGAGCATTAGAAAGATACTTCTTTAGATAAGGATAAACCTCTTCCGTAAAGCAGAAAAAATGACGGGATGAAAATTACAAGCATCTGGAGATCACCAGATAAGCAGCTGAGGGTTGTAATAGGAAATGAAACGTCGGGCGTAGCAAAAATCCACGAATTCTTTTAAAAAGAACTAATAATGAGAGAGGGAGAAAGAACAGAAGGAGAAATAGGAACACATAGCAACGCTTAAGTACCAGAAATAGGGCTCTTCAATGAAATGTGTACCAAAGAACGACCATGTTAAGATATGCACAACACACCATATACGACAGCACAGGTGCAGTAAGTGGGCTAACTCATAAAATCGCAACAGAAGTGCGTTTTCTTTTCGAAACGATTAATTAAACAGGGTTGTAAAACCAATCACAATGCAGCATAATTCTGTAATAATTCAGTTATCCCAGGACGCCGGCTTTCGAACAAACTTCCTTTTCCGCAGCATCCAAAAACCAAACACTGCAAAAAATGACTACTTAATTAGCACGAACCTTTTCATTGATTATCGGTGCGGTTAAAGATTCAATTATATTTCATTGAAAACATGCATAAAATATACATTCTTGTGCTCATTCAGTAAAAACGTACGTCGTCTTTTATTTTTATTCTCGTAGGAGGGGTATAATTTGGTTTTATAAAACTTTTTCAATTCCCTAATAATTTTGAACCTAACCTACCGTTACACTTGCATTCAGGGCTTCCGAACTACAAGCCGTATAATTTCCGCGTATGGAAAGCCATACATTTCTCTACGGTACTAAAGGGTGACCATATTGGGTTCATAAAATTAAGCAGTGGATTTGAGTCACACTGTTAACTTTACAAGCCACATTGGTAAATGCAGAGACATGACGTTTTATGAAGGGTCATTTCACGGTTTTAAAAAATTAGAAACCTTTTTAAAGCCGAAGCATAACCTTCCTTCGAGTATAAAGTTGAAAGAAGGCGTACTTTTCTACTGAATGAGCAAAAGAATGAGTATTTTTTGCATGTTTTCCATGAAATATAATTGAATTTTTAAGGGCGTCTAAAATCAAACAAAAATGCATGCTACTTAAGTGGCCATTTTTTGTGGAGTGTGGTTTTTTATGCAGCCGAGTAGAAGTTTTCGAGAGCCGGCATCCTGGGTTAACTGAACTATGTGGCAGGCTGACTAGTTTTACCACCCTACTTAATTAATCTTTTCGAAACGGAAACGCATTTCGAAATTTCGGTTGAAATTTCATGAGTTAGCCCATCTACTGTACTAGCCAAAAACCCAGACACTAATTTCGTCAATATTCTTCCACTTCATGACTCAGATACCATGGGGTTCGGCTAACCAGTGGGCCCGCCAGCGTTCCCTATAGATACCCTGGTTTTGAAATCTCAGCTTTCTAATTTCCTCTGAAATTGATCGCCAACTTGGAGTAAACCAGTCTATTTGAGACTTATTGACTCAGACTGAAATTTCGTATGAACATTTAGGTCGAAGGCCATCAGCCAGCGCAGAATAATCAAGCAATATTCATAAACTCCCGACAGGAAGCCAGTAGCATAGACAGAGATTGCCAATAGAAGCGAAGAGACGAGTTCCAGGAAGCAGTCCTGCACAAAAAGACACGATCGCCGGGACAAGAGCTTTATTAGCCTGACGTTTCGGATTCCTGCACGAATCCATCATCAGAGACATAAGCAGATAAGGGTGGTCCATGCATATGCGGCTGCAGTATTTATAGGATGCAGTAGCCATGCAACCGCATACCTATGAATATTCACGGCTCCCTCCCTTTCATCAGGGTTCGTTGCACGTGGCGTGGTGGCCGATATTCGCGTCTTTAATTGCTGCCATTTCATCACGTGCGTCGGATGTTGGCGTGATGATTGCTCGACCATCTGACGCACCGACCCCGGTGTTGGGATAAGTGTTCACCTCTGCGCTCCCCGCGTGGCCAAGTACTCCGCCTAGGCGAAATTTTAGCACGCAGTATGGAGTGGGAAGCTCGTTGCACTTGTTAATAGACTAGGGGCCAGTAAACTATGACTCAAGCAGCTCCCGGCTCACGCGGTTGTCACCTCCTGCGAGAATTTCGGCCTCGTCAAATTTGAATGTGTGGCCGGAACCCGTCGAATGAGCCGCAACTTGAGAGCTGGCGTCATTTCTCCGCACTGCTGCAGCGTGTTCGGCCATTCGCGTTCGGAGCTGTCTTCCGGTTTCTCCGACGTAGTTGCTTTGTCCGCAACTGCACCAGATCCGATAAACGACTCCAGACGTTTCTTGCCGTGGCAGTGGGTTTTTTGGTTTCATCAAGTGACGCCTGATGGTTGCCTCCGGCCTGTGTGCAACTCCGACCCCAAGTGGTGCGAGAAGGCGGCCAACAGCTTCCGAAACGTTCTGGACATATGGAAGCGCTCGCCAAACTCTGGTGTCCGTGCGGTTAGGCCTTTCGTCCATTTTGCGTATGCACCGGTTGACAAAGTTGCGCGGGTAGCCATTGGCTTTGAAGACCCGTCGGAGGTATTGTAGTTCAGCAATCTTGTCTTCCGGCTCGCTGCAGTGAGTTTCGACACGCCGATAGAGCGTCCTTACACAACTGCGTTTGTGGCTGATTGGGTGGTTACTGTTAAAGTTCGGTATTTGCATCGTATCTGTCGCTTTCCTGAACACTTTGGTCTTTAGTCCACCGCAATCCTTGCGGCATACGAGGACATCCAGGGAGGCCAGCTGGTTGATCTCTTCCTCCTCTATCGTAAATTGTATGTCCGGGAAGACCGCATTCAGACGTTCTTTGAATGTCAGCAGTTGATCCCGATCGATAACGACGAAGGTATCATCCACATACCGGGCCCAGAACTTCGGTTTGTGGTGTTGGAAGACCAGCGACTCTAACCGTTGCAGGACCGCCTCGGCGATTAACCCCGAAATAGGCGAACCCATTGGTGTGCCCTTCACTTGTTCGTAGATTGTCCCGTCGAACGTTAAGTACGTCCTGAGACAGAACTTCAGGAGCTGAAGGACTTGGGCGCGTCCAAGACGATTCTCCGTTTCATCGTATTTGCTTTGTAGAAGCAGCTCGATTATCTCGATCGCCAGGTCCTGGGGAATAGAAGTAAAAAGGGATGCAACATCAAAAGATACCATGACCTCATTTGGATGGAGGCTTACCCCTTTGAGTTTCTCCAGGAATTCTGCTGACGAAGAGACCGTGGTGTCTGACTCAGCGGTCAGGAACTTGAGACGCCGGAACAGCCACTTAGCCAGTCCGTGCGTTGGAGTACCTTTGAGTGACACGATGGGTCGGAGAGGAGCGCCGTCTTTGTGCACCTTAGGGAGACCACAGAATCGGGCCAAATCCGTATCTTGGGGTCTCGCCATGCGTCTGTCGGTCGGTGTTATTGCACCTGAGTTCTCCAAGGCCAACATCGTAGCATTGATTTCGCGTGTCAGCGATTTTACAGGGTTCGTTGCACGATACGCAATATCTGACAACAGAGGTGGTAACTAAATGGCGAAACACGTGTCTGGGGTTTTAGCTGCGTATCTGTAGCGGAACAGCAATGAGAATAAGTGCTCTGAACGCTACAACCACCAGTTCGAATCCCATGTTGGGTGGGAGTAGACAGAAGGCACTAGAATGAGGAGTTTATTGGGCTCAGAACTCGTGGGCCAAGCTCAAGTTGTCGCCAATCGGTGTGCGTGGCATTTGCCGAGGGGTGGTGTCCCAGTGGCTTGTTTTGCTCGTTGCAGGGGGTGGGTTGCGTTGAAGTGGCCGCCAAGGCAGCTGCGGCTGTGCAGGCACGGGTATGCCCGAGCTGTCGGTCGTGTGACTTCAGGTCAGCGCGTCTGGAACGGCTGACTGCAAAGGGGTGAATGAACGTGAGGCAGCGAGGTCTTGAACAGTGACGCCAGACCAGTCATAATGGCTGCCCGGCAAGTGAACTATGAAATTCTGAGGAAATTGAAAAGTTTCAGAATACGTTTCAAGGCTTCCTCACAAAGTCTCCGATAGATATTATTGACCCAACTGTGCAAAACTCGGCGCGTCGGTGGGACTCGAACCCACGCAGTGAGGGGAAGGCTTTGTACAGCCAACACTCTAACCACTAAAACTACGAGGCCCGGTCGAACGACGCGAGTTAATCACAGTTGGGTCACGTTACCCGCCCAACCTACTGCATCGTGTGGAATCCACCAAATATGGTGGATTCTAGGTGAATTACTTAAGAAATCCTGCTTGGGCAGTCAACTTACTGTATCAGATTTGGTGGATTCCAGACCTTGCAGTAGGTTGGGCGGGTAACTTGACCCAAATGTGATTAAACTCGCGTCCTCCGGCGGGGCCTCGTAGCTCAGATGACTGTCAATAGTAGTGAAAATGCGATTCCCGCGTGGCATATCAAAAGAAGAGGAGGCGTTCACCGGGAGAGGTGCATTTGAGGCATTGAACAAAGTGCGCCATAAAAGGAAAGCTGTGTGCACGACTGCTCAGTCTCTGAAGATGGGTAGAAGAAACGACTACCCGAAACGTCAGACCTCAAATACACCTCTCCCGGTGAACGCCTCCTCTTCTTCAGGTGACAGTACTAAAGCCTTCTCCTTACTGCGAGGGTTCGAATCCCACCGATGCCCTGAGTTTTTCACAGTTGGGTCAATACGACTTATTCAAAATCTCCCAAAACATCTATGGATCTCCGATAAGTCTCATTTTTAGACAAACTGATCAGCTGATCTTTCCCAGGCACTCACAAATGGGATTACTGGTGTGGAAGGACGAACAGCTGGACGGATGACGTCAGGACTAAAATTATCAGAATTCCGCCAGTACATGAAACCCCAAGTATCTTACTTTTCAGTAAAGGTGTGTTGGATAAAATTGGTTTACCAGGGCTCTGTGAGAAGAACATGATTTAGGGAGCGTCGTTGCCCAGCCTTTGAGAAGTAATGACCCGGGCAAATGCAGAAATGCGCGTCCCTCTCTGGGTCTCAATTATTGTAAGCACCTGCTATGTCAGACTCAGTAATCCACAGTCCTTTACAGCCTGGTACGCGCTGCCATTTCTCCAGCGGTAGATGCGCTTGCGCTCCCGCCGGGAATACAGGTCGCGAGCATGGCTACCCACTCATCCTCGTCATCTTTCTGGCCCGTTGTGATGCTACCGTTAGGTAAAATCTTGGTCAAGTCTTTGGTGTGGACCAGCGGGTGTGGTGGTACGCCCAGGGATGTGGGTCCGGCCGTGGCAGCCACCTGCGCCCTCTTCTACCTCCGGTCTTCTTGGACACCGGGTCAAGGTTGGGGAGAAGGAGAGAGTGTGGTAGGTGCTGCACAAGTCTACTCCCAGTATAAATTAATGCACACACACAAGTCGCCGTATCTGCTCTCACCTCGGTGTGAGGCATGTAGCAGTTCGCGTCTCCTCACCCTCCGCCTCTGTCATGCTGCGGTCCTGTCCGCCTCACACTCCGTGTCGATACGCTGCAGGGACGCGCAAGGGCTCGAAGCCAATCAACGCTGTCCCCACTCTGATTGGCTGGCGTACTTGGAGACAACAAAGGGTGCACACGCGCGAACACAACACCCCGAAGGCGGACACAGAAAACAGCTTGCTTGGAGCGCGCTCGCGGCGACTGCCTACAGAGCCCTTGTGTACGCACTTCCTCAGGCAGTAAAGGTTGTCCAACTCGAACCGTCTTCCCTTACTTTTGATTGGAAATCTTTATCTTGTCGACCACACAACTTTCGACAAGCACACGGTGGATATCCATGGGTACGACGGTCGATCTGTCAGGTGGCGATTTATAGCGTTTTCTTTTAGTGCGTTAAAACGCGCGTACGAATTTGTACAGTTTGGCTTAGCAGTTCTGCGTATAACGGCATCTCCTTACTGCTCTGACCCTTCTGCTCTGGACAAGCCGTGGACGATATTTATTCTATTCCCCGAAGAAGAGACTCATGCGTAGCCTGACCTGGTAATGCGATGTGAAAACACTATGGCGGTCTGTCCTCCGGATATTGGTGAAAGCAAAATCAGGAGGAAGGTTGAGGCGTGCGCAGACCAGCTAGTCAAGTCTCTGTAAACCTTTACGGGCTTTTCAAAACATGAGAACAAGGCACTTTTTACGACTTCGATAGGCTCAACTCACTGGTGGTGAGGATGACATTTTGGTTTGGGGAATCGAAGTTCTTGTCAACATGCAAGTGCGCCTCCTTCTAATACCGATGCGTCATGTGAGATTTTTAAAAACACCGGTTGAAGAGAAAGTGGATGAGGTTAAAACAAGCTGGCCAATAAACAGGTCATTTTGCCTGTCGGTTTTGTTTTTTTTTTCACTAGGTCGATAACGCTTTTCGGGCTGTCACGAAAGCCCAACTTGCTAACGAGTCCAAATCGCATAAACAGCCTAGACCAGGGGGATGAGATATTGCCAAGACCACCAGTGAGGGTGTCGTGAGGATAAAAATACCAAAAATGGAATTCAAACGTGCTGCAATTTAGTCCAAGTCTGAACTTTAAGACGATTATTGGAGTTGTTCAGAGGGTTCACTGAACAATCCGCTGGCAAGTGATGCGGTCAAAAGACCCGATCCTTAGGTAAGAGATGTCGGCCGCGACCAACCGACTTCAATGCAGTTGCAGGATGTACGGCTACTCCGGGGAAACCGGCCGACGGCTGCAAACGCCGTACGAAGGTTGAACCCAAAGTCGGAGGCAGCAACCCATGCCGCGGAAATGAGATACGTCTTCAACCTTGACGTCGTTGAGATCAGAGCCTGAGGCGATGACCATACCGCAAGGCCGGTATAAGAAGCCTGAATGTCCACCATCTGTTCTGCCAATCGCCATTTGGATTGGCCACCCCCCTATCGGGTATTGCGGACCTTCCTGACGAGGAACAGTCACGGCGCGGAACAATTCGGGTCTCCGATGCCAACGAGGGCACGGACGATACAGGTCACGGTGAAATGTGGGTCGGATGTAGGCACACAGGCGGCGTTGGCGGGCTTCTCATCAAACAAAGTGCGCCGCATACTGAGAGTTGCGCGCATGACGGTCCAGTCCATGAAGGTGGGTAAGTGAAATAACTACTCGGAGCGTCAGGCCTCTGATAAACCTCTTTCAGTGAACGTCTCTTCTTCTTTTGAGATTAGTGGAGCTCTGGTTATAAATTCTTAAAATGCAAAATAGCATGTTTGATATTGGTCAATGAAAATACCGAAGCTGATATAGGGGCTAAAAAGGTCTACAAAATGTAAGTGAAGAGAATAGTGTGTGGCGGTTTAGGTTGCTCCATAGAAGGAAAAGGCGGAAGTTTTATGAAAAAACCTGAAAAAAACTGGGCTAGTGCATACTGGCTAACTGACGAAACACATATAATAAAAAACAGGATGCTTCTAACAGATGCAGTTGGTGATTTGCTCCTACGACAACCAATTCGTCTACATCAGCCAATACTGCCCTCACAAATGTCAACGCTACTGACTTATAAAACACTTCGTGTAATGAAGTATTTTCATAGTCTTGTATCGATTTTTTCCTACCCGCTTTTGGAAACATTTAACCACGTATACAAAAGCTGCAAGAGCACTAAACTGTTTAGATGCATCCCAAATAACAAATCACTATAGAACATACAATATACTCTTGAAAGCCGACACTTGTGACAATACCACAGGTTATCAAAAAAGAAAACATCTCCAGAAAATGGCAGAAAACATTTATGATAAAAAGGTTTGTTGGGTGCTGAATTTGAAACAATCTCCCTGTAGGTACATTCAGGGCAAAGACAGTTAAATTGCTATGTTTAAATATATGCACCAGTCGATGTTTCAAATTGGCCGTCACGTAAAGAGTTGGGTATTGTTTATTCTGTGAAAATTTATATCGCTCTTACAATTCACGTTTTAGGCTCCCTTAAGAAGAAATAAACTAATTGACAGGACTCTGACCAGACGCGGCATCTCCAGCAGTTATTACTGTAAAGCAAGTGCTCTTTTCTGTCTTCGAAGTAGTATTAAATAAACGCCTGCTGCCAGGTAAGTAACCAAGCAATTTTCAACCCTTCTTACGTTAAAAATAACGATTTGTCCTCCCTTATTTTCTATCGACAGCATGCTGCGCATACATCTTCACAATATGCATCGACAATTGTGAGGCACTGGCCAAAGCCCGTCCCAAAATTTTCACGAGCAATATATCACTTAGGTAAGGCAGACGAACTAACTGATGGTAAAAATATTTTCAAGCAAATTCCCATGTGGCAACAGACAGGGGTTTGATGGATGATTCTTGAAGTTACCTGCTTAAATATCATTCAAAATATGTCTTACGGCATTTTTCGATGAAATCGGATTGTGTGCATATCGTAAATGGGATGTAAGTGGGGGGATAAAAATCCCACGTTTTAGCTAGCAAGAGAAAAAACAAACATGATCTGATAAAAAAACGTTTTGTATAAAAATTGCAAGACGTAACGTGGTCGGTTGAGGACAGTAGCAAAACACGAGAAATGACTGTTTTTTGCCCCGTTTTATTCAGCGTGCAAAACCTTTCGAAATAGATCGTTTCAGTCTTCAAATAGATTTAGTTAAGTTAAAACGACGCCTGCATGATCCGTTCAGGTGCCTGACTAACATGCACGTACTTTACATTAAGTAAGCAAGTTAAGTTAGTAAGTATATATATATATCTATTGGAAGATGGGCTCATTCTTCTTCGGAATATATATATGTATATAAAACTTAGGATAAAACACCTTATTGATCTCCTGAAGCACTGCTTGAAGACTTTCTTCACCTTCAACGGAGCTGTGTACGAACAAGTTGAAGGTACACTCATGGGGTCAATGTTATCCAGCTTGACGGCTGAGGCAATGTTACAACAACTGGAGGCACTGGCGTTCGACCACTATCGGCCACGACTGTGGGTACGGTATGTCGATGACACATTTGCCATCATCAATCGGGACAAGATTGGGGAATTCACGAAACACCTCAACTCGATCTTCCCAGACATCCACTTCACGATGGAGGAAGAAAAAGATTGCCAGTTGCCGTTTCTGGACGCACTAGTTCAGAGAAAAGGTGATGGTGAATTAAAAACGGCGGTTTACCGGAAGGCAACGAATACCTTCCGTAGTCTAAGTTTTCTTAGCAACCACCCCCTTCTCGCACAAACGCAGCTGCGTGAGAACACTCTACCGGCGTGTAGAAACCCATTGCACCGAGCCAGTCGACAAGAAGGCTGAGATCCAGTTCCTGCGGAAACTATTCATAGCGAACGGCTAGCCTGGGAATTTTGTCGAAAAGTGCAGGCGAGAAAGCCGGGGAAGACAACCGAAGGGGCAACCAAAACCGAAGTGCTGGCGCGCAGTGCTGTAAGTAGCCGATGCGTCAGAAGAATTCGCTGGACTGATGAGCGAATTTGGGATTGGCGCCGCTCAAAAACCTGAAGCAAAAATTCGTCGGCAACTCATGCACTCTAAGGAACCGATTCCCATCAATCAGAAATCGGGGGTCATTTACCGGAAGGACTGCAGTTGTGGTCAAGCCAACTATGTTGGTGAAACCGTCAGACAGGTACGCACGATATTGCACTAGCACGAGTTGGCTGAGACGGAAGGATAAACTTCCCTTGGTAGCCGCCCACGACTCCTCGCCAGGGCACGCCTTTGACTTTCAGTGCGTGAGAATATTGGACCAGTCAGACGACCGAGTTGCTTGCCTGCTGTAGGAAGCATGGCGGTCAAACGAGGACTTGATTAATCGATATATCAATCTGCTAATCGCTTATCAAGCACTGCGTGAACAAAACAGCAGCGCAGCTAGAGGTCAGTCCTGGCAGTTGTGAGATAGATGGACGATTGGCTCGCAAGAGATTTCGAAACGTTGAATAAACAATTGGTCCCATCGATCGCCTTCCCGTCTTCTTCTTTTCAATTAGCTGGGCCGGTAGTGTTCTCTACCATTGAGATATATATGTGTATGAGAAGAAAAGGCGATCTCGGGAATCATGGTTGTATCGTCCTGAAGTTTCAAAAGCAAACAAGCTTTCATCGTCGGAGGTGAGTGTTGTGTCGCGCCTCACAGTATTTATTGACGGCGACGATCTTGTTACAACGGGTTTGCGTCTATTCGGAAGCTGTCGTTTGGACGCTAGCTGTCATCGCACATTTTTGCATTGACGTTAGCTCGCGTCCTGGGTTGGCAGCCTTATTTTCGACCTTGCAGCCGATTGTTTTCTCACCTGTGCATGAGTGGCAGTGACGATAGCACCTTCATCTGGTCCGTTCGCGTTACTACGATCGTTCGTCTTCACACCTGCCGGATAAGTGGACGGCACGGCTGCAGTGACGATCGCACCTTCGTCAGATTCGGGTTGTAGTACAGCTGCGGTATTTGGGTTTCTGTCTTGACGTAACTGCGTCCGGAGGGCCTGGTAAGCTTCGGGAAGCGCTACGCTGCGGTTAATGCAGTTCGCGCGAGTGTGCCGGTCTCGATTTTTTTCCCTGGGGATGCGGTCATTTCTCCGACCCAGGATTTCATCATTCTGGAAGGCGAACGTGTGTTCAGAGTTTGCACAGTGTTCTGTCACCTGTTCTGTTCAGGTGCCTGACTAACGTGCACGTACTTTACATTAAGTTAGCAAGTTAAGTTAGTAAGTATATATATATATATAGTGGTAGGGGGCGCTCACCGATCGTTCATACGGAACTCACTCGTTCCGTTGTGCCTTAAGAGCTCTCTCTCGAGCCCAACCAGCAGCCGCACAGCGACGCATGATACATAGGCAGAATAACATTACCGACAAAGACAAGGGAGACTGGAAT